GGCCCGGAGCGCGCGCGGCGGCTGGCGCGGCCGCTGTCCGTGGTGCTGCGCGCCGGTCTCCGAGCCGGTGGGGCCTCGTCTGCGCGGAACGGCGGTGAATCAGGGCGCCCGGGTCTGGGGAGCAGCGGGCACGAAGGGGCTGCCGGCTGGGGCTGCCTCTCCATCCCGGCACAGTCTCTTCCCTCGACCAAGGAATGGAGGCAGTCCTGGGCCTCATCATGTCCTCCAGGAGCACTGCTGTCCCACCACAGTCCCTTCTTCCCTGTACTGGCACTCAAGGAAGGGGGGCAGCCCCATGTCAGGCCTCTCCCGCCACTGTGGGCTAACTGTAACCCCTCGGAGCCTCAGATTCCTTATCTGAAAACTGGGATAATGATAGTGGCCACCCTGCTACAGCGCCACTGTGAGGTTAAATACATGGTTATCCCAGCGGGCACTCGGCAAGCGTGGATGTGGGTGTCGTAGCAGCAGCCATGTGCACTTACTACTTCCTGGTCGCGAGCACGTGTATGGGCAGCCAAGGCATGGGAGCTGCCTCTGGCCCCACAACCCAGGGCCCAAATGACACCTTTGGGGAGTTGGAGAGAGGGAGCTGTCATAAAGGGCCCAGGGTGGACTGTCATCAGCAGGGGGTCTCATGGGTGCCAGAGCAGGAAGGCCTTTGGACCCAAAGCTGGGTTGGCAGCTGCAAGGACCACGTGTTCTGATGAGACCTCTGGTCCCAGCCCAGGTCTACACCCCCTCCCCGGATGTGGAACACTGGGAAGGTTGTCCTGTCCAAGGCATGGAGTCAATGGGGGCACGATGCTGGGAAGAGCAGGCAGGACATCCCAGTTCCCTTCCTCCCAGTGGCTCTTGTCCTCTTCCCCTTGGTCTGAACCGATTCTAGGAAATGGGTTGCCAGCTTCCTCAGCTCTGTAGCTACAGAAGGGGGACTCAGCCAGAAAGCAGACAGGAGCCATTTTCTTCCTGAGGGTCTACATATTCCAAGGCCTACCCCAAGCCTTGGGAGAGTGTTGGGAGCCTTCTTAAGCACCCCCTTGGTGGCTCAGTGAGACCTCCAGTAAAGCCACAGCCCATCTCGGCCAGGCAGGAGGGAGAGGTGGGGGCTGGGAGCTCTTTTGCCCCTCTTCTGAGACTGTGGGGCAGGAAGGCAGAGACCTGCATGCAGGCTTCAGGCTCAGTCCTGGAGTCACCGACAGACCAGAGCAGGTAGATCCTGCTTTGCCCTTCGGTCTGGCCATGGGGCTCAGAAGTGACCCCTGTGTCATTTTCTAGCCCTTACTATGAGCTGTGCACTGTGCTCAGCCCCTTCTCACACACTGTCACCTCCCCAGGCTTCCAGGTGAGAAAATAGAGGCTCAGAGAAGGGAAGTGGCTTGCCATGGCCACAAAGCCAGGGTGGGATCCGTTTTGAATCCAAAGCGTATAACCTTGAAGACCCAAGTGCTCCGCCTCCTCACCAGATATTGGGGTGGTGGTGGGCAGGAGATCTGAAATGCGGAGCGAATGGTGGCACTGTGAGAGTCCTACTGCCCCTTCCTTCCATGGCTATCTGTGTCCAGTGCCCTCTGCCACCCACTCACAGCCTTGGAGGCCTGAGGGCAGGAACTGGGGAGAGCAGTAGTCTTAGCCCCACCCTGTGGGCAGACGGGCTCAGCCTGAGGAGAGCCTTCCACATGGCCTTCCTCAGCCAGCTCTGGTCCAAACTTCGGCTCCATCCCTTGCCTGGCCAAGACATCAGGCAAGCAATTCACCTGGCTTCAGCCTCAGTTTCCTTATCTGTACAATGGGTACAGTTATCATAGCATTGTTTCATTGGGTTGGGCAGAAGATTAAAGAGACAGTATGTGTCCAAGGCTCAGTGCTGGCACCACAGTAAACCCTGGGAAGATGCCTGACCTTTCTTTGGGTAGATTCTGAGCCACAGGACTTCCTGTGGGTGCCAAGATTCTCAGGAGCTGGAGTGTGGGTCTCAGATAAGGCATTAGAGCCCCTCCAGAAAGCCATTTGGCATTCTGTAGGGGAGGAGCCAGGAGCCTCTACAAGCCCACTCCTTCAACTTCCAGCCCAGCCCAGTGGAGGTGGGCCTGGTAGGCACTGATAATGGGCATCAGAGTAGCAGAGGTAAAAGGAGCAACCATGGGCTTCGTCTCTCTCCGCCTCTGTTCACTCATCTGTAGAAAGGGAATCAATACCTAAGTGTCAAAAAATGTCCATAGGGCCGGCCCGGTGGCGCACTCGGTAGAGTGCGGCGCTTGGGAGTGTGGCGGCGCTCCCGCCGAGGGTTCGGATCCCATATAGAGACCGGTCCGCTCACTGGTTGAGCGCGGTGCAGGCGCGACACCAAGGGTTGCGATCCCGTTACTGGTCACGAAAAAAGACAAAAAGGAAAAAAAAAATGTCCATAAGCAGTGCAGGTTCTGAGAGCACACAGAAGGTGCCCAGTGAGCGCCATGGTCATGATCAGTCTGCTCTCACAGTCAGGGAGAGAGAGGCACACAGTCAGATCCTTTCTGTTGGTGGTTCTGGGAATGCCATGGGAGGGGATGCCCAGGGATGGGAAGGAACCCAGTTGCACCCCACCTCCCCAAGAGAGCAGCAGACTCACTCCCCCTCCTGGCCCCTGTCTGCAGAGTGTGCGAGGAAGATGTCGAGCCCGGGTATTGACGGCGACCCCAAGCCTCCATGCTTGCCTCGAAACGGTCTGGTGAAGCTACCAGGCCAGCCCAACGGCCTGGGTGCAGCCAGCATCACCAAGGGCACGCCAGCTGCCAAGAACCGCCCCTGCCAGCCACCACCCCCACCTACCCTCCCACCACCCAGCCTGGCTTCCCCCCTGCCCCGGGCTCCCCTGGCTGGGGGCCCGTGCCCCCCAACAGGTGGACCAGCCTCAGCTCCAGCACCTGGATCACCAGCAGAGCGGCCAGTGCTGGCCACGGACGAGAAGATCCTCAATGGCCTCTTCTGGTACTTCTCGGCATGTGAGAAGTGTGTGCTGGCCCAGGTGTGCAAGGCCTGGCGGCGCGTGCTCTACCAGCCCAAATTCTGGGCGGGCCTCACACCAGTGCTGCACGCCAAGGAGCTCTATAATGTGCTGCCTGGGGGTGAGAAGGAGTTCGTGAACCTGCAGGGCTTTGCTGCACGAGGCTTTGAGGGCTTCTGCCTGGTCGGGGTCTCCGACCTGGACATCTGTGAGTTCATTGACAACTATGCTCTCTCCAAGAAGGGCGTCAAGGCCATGAGCCTCAAGCGCTCCACCATAACCGACGCTGGCCTAGAGGTGTGCCCCCAAGCCGGGGGGTGGGGGGAGGACCAGGCAGCTGCAACTCTGTGGGTGTGGGAGAGCATGGGGGAACCAGAGGGAGCTGAGGGTTGCGCAGGTGCCCTGAGAAGCATCGTGGTGTTGAATTGGGGGAAGCAGGACTGGCTACATAATTTGGGAGACCTAGTGCAAAGTGAAAATGTGATCCCTTGTTCAAAGAGGATTAAGAGTTTCAGGACAGCAACAGCAATAACAGTTAATTAAGTGCGAGGCCCTGCCTGCCCGTAAAGCTTGCCTTGGGTGGGGAGGATGCTGGGGGGAGGTGAGGGGCAGCTGGGGAAGGGCCCCCAGGTACAAAGGTCAGAGGAGTAGCAGGGCAGCCAGTCTTGTCCCCAAGAACTGGACTCTAATCATTCAAACCAGCTGCTATGCACACTCGCTCTAGATGGGCCCTGGGCTCCCCGGCCCCGTGCCCTGCCTCTTCTTTAGGAGTGTTGTTGAAGAGTAAAATGCACTCAGAGTTCACTTGATGCGTGTTTACACAGCCTGCGCTGGAAAGACCGCCGCTCCCTGCGTCCTCAGCGCGCTGCTTCCAGCCCATCTCCTGCAACCCTCACCGTGCCCTCGGGGGAGGGGCCCGACAGGGGAGGGGGGAGTGGGAACCGAGGCCGGGCGTGCCCTCTGACCCCGCGCCTGCCCGCAGGTCATGCTGGAGCAGATGCAGGGTGTGGTGCGCCTGGAGCTGTCGGGCTGCAACGACTTCACCGAAGCTGGGTTGTGGTCCAGCCTCAGCGCGCGCATCACCTCGTTGAGCGTGAGCGACTGCATCAACGTGGCGGACGACGCCATCGCGGCCATCTCGCAGCTGCTGCCCAACCTGGCCGAGCTGAGCCTGCAGGCCTACCACGTGACGGACACGGCGCTGGCCTACTTCACTGCGCGCCAGGGCCACAGCACGCACACGCTGCGTCTGCTGTCCTGCTGGGAGATCACCAACCACGGCGTGGTCAACGTGGTGCATAGCCTGCCCAACCTCACGGCGCTCAGCCTCTCGGGCTGCTCCAAGGTCACCGACGATGGCGTCGAGCTCGTGGCCGAGAACCTGCGCAAGTTACGCAGCCTCGACCTCTCGTGGTGCCCGCGCATCACCGACATGGCGCTGGAGTACGTGGCCTGCGACCTGCACCGCCTGGAGGAGCTCGTGCTCGACAGGTGCGCGAGCCCCGAGTGAGGGGCGGGGCTCCAGCGCGGTGGGCTGCGCCCTCGTGAGCAGGGTCCCTGACGATGTCCCTCCGGGTGGGTGGTGCCGCAGAGGAGTCGGAGTGTGGGCGGTGGGCACTTTTGGGGAGTTCACACCGCGGACCTCCCCGGGGAAAGGAGGGAGGGGCCGGAGCTGGGGGCGGGGCTGGATGATTTGAAGGGTTGTCCCCCTCTGGTGCAACCACAGGTGTGTACGCATTACGGACACCGGCCTCAGTTATTTGTCCACCATGTCGTCCCTCCGCAGCCTCTACCTGCGATGGTGCTGTCAGGTACCGGCCCTCCACGGCTCCGGGGATTGGGAAAAGGCGCGGGAAGAGGGGGGCGCCGGGAGAGCCCCGGTTCAGACAATCCGCAGACCTGCTCCCGGCCCCACTCAGATCCTGCAGGAAAGTCTGGGATCCCTCTGCATCCAGCTGCGGACCTGAGTGGAGCTTACCGGGTCCCCGGGGCCCTCAGCGGCACTTCCCGGCTGCCTCCTGGCTCCGTGAGGGGCTGAGAAACCGCTGTTGTTGTTGGTTTTTTTTTTTTTTTTTTTTTTTTTTTTTTTTTTTTTTTTTTTTTTTTTTTTT